GCCTTCATTTCGGCCAGGCAGAAACGACTTCAGACTTTACGCTAATCACTGAGTCTTGAGTAATCAAGTAACATCAGCCAGTACACAGTAAATATGGCTGATCATCTTGTGTACAAACCTATAGATCCTAACTAAGTTGCAATTAGTGCTGAACCAGAACGTACTGAAACACACCTGACAATGTCGTTCTGTTATTTTTTTCAAATTACCCAAATAAGCACACTGAATCAGTGAAACTGCACTAAAAAGGAACTCAGCGAAGAAAATTTTCTTTATCGATGAAATCATCTTCAGAGTCGGCTGTACAGTCGTATTTATACTTACCAAAATGAATAGTGGTCTATTTTTGAGTAACGTTGGGGGTGATATAATTGATATAATTACTCAGAAGTGGCTTTAGAAGTGAAAATTAAAAGTTGTAAATTACGTGGTACTCAACGGTACAAAGATAGAAATTTGATAAGGTTAAAATCGCTATTGAGTGAGAATACAGAAAAAGTTTGTCCAGTCTCTTATTATACCTTGGTCTTAATCTCTTCACTTGTCGTCTATTGCAAAAAATTTTGATTTTTCTTTAATTTTATTATTTTTTAATTTTAATAATAAACCAATACTTGAAAATTTTAATTTTACTCTTAGTTTGCTTTTACTTTAATAATTAACTCAATATTATCACTCTCATATATTCCTTTTGTAAATCTTCACACCTGTTAAATTGACACTCAACTACCACCTTTATTCTCACTCAATAACAATTTTAACTTTATCAAATTTCTATCTTTGTGCCGTTGAGTACTACGTAATTTATAACTTATATAATAATTTATAATTATTAATTATTTATAATTTTTACTTCTAAAGCCACTTCCGAGTAATTATATCAATTATGTCACCCCGCCACCATTACTCAATAATAGACCACTAAACATTTTGGTAAGTATAAATACAACTGTACAACCTCTGACGATGATTTCGTCTATAAAGAAAATTTTCTCCACTGAATTTGTCTTTTATTTTCTTCATAAAAAGGAATTCTTAAACACAAAGAGTTCTTTTTCTATAGTTTCGTTTGTAAGAGTTAGTTGTGTTTTTTTACTAGTTGATCACGGAATGAGAACCATTGAAAACCAGGGAGTACTGGACAGCTGCTGTTTCATCCTAGTTTGGGAATCATCGGCAGTACGCACCCACTGGGATTCGAACCCAGGACCTTCCGGTTACAAGGCAAGCTAGCTCGTATACCATTCAGCCACTGGGACTCGATTCAATGACTCATGAATTCTGACTTCTACCAATTTGTTATTTAGCGCGACCCCAACCATTGTCCTTGGTGGGACATCCATCCACACACGTGACATCTAATTGGACCTCACAGGTCCAAACTATAGAAAATTAATCTGATGCTCGCTAATGATTTGCTACAGGATGGAGTTTCCTGGAGTTCTAGTGAGAAGTCGTGATCAGTGAGGTCAATCCAGAGGTCACGTGTGTGGATGGATGTCCCACCGACGACATTGGTTGGGATCGCGCTAAATGAAAAATTGGTAGAAGTCAGAATTCATGAGTCATTGAATCGAGTCCCAGTGGCTGAATGGTATACGAGCTAGCTTGCCTTGTAACCGGAAGGTCCTGGGTTCAAATCCCAGTGGGTGCGTACTGACGATGATTCCCAAATTAGGATGAAACAGCAGCCGGTCAGTACTTCCTGGTTTTCAATGGTTCCCTAACTGATATCAATCCGTGATCAACTCCTGAAAACAAAGGGTTCTTGAAAATGTCTCACTTTCAAAGGCATATACAGTACACGGATAGTCGAATTTGCGTTCAGTTTAAAGAAAAAAAACCATGAGTATGATAAAAAAAACAATAATAGACTGATAATATGACAAAATAAGCTACTGACAATGAATATAAACTCACATTACGATCATATTTAGTCCGAATCTCACGAACTCCTGCAAATAAAAAATAAAATTCTTATTTATGGCAATCCATTCACACATTCAAAATCAAATATAATTACTTATTTTTAATATAACAAATGAATATTCAAAAAAGTGACTCTAAAACCCCAGGAATATAAACTCAATCCATCCAACGGAAAGGGATGTTAAATGGTTGTAGGCAATTGACACGATGCTGTGGACCCCTAGATTTTGTGCTTATTGGCCTCTTGTCAGTAACGAGCATCTGCGATCTTGGTGCAGTCGACTTCCCCTCTGAGATTCAAACCCATGTCATCCAGTGCCTCAGTCAAAGACGTTACCACTGAGCTCGAATAGCTGACAACAGCCAACAAGCGCAAAGCTCTAGGTCCAAGGTTTCCTTAACCATCTAACATCAACAATTCAAAGTGCGTAGCGATGGCTAGTCATCTAGCTTGACGGTCACATTGCAAACCCGACTGATAGAATTCAGTCTGTAGATTTATGCTGTGACAACATGAATTAACTTGCTATTCCGGAGGGTTCGACGGCAACTGTCTACCTATCTAATAATAAAATAAGAGGTTCTCGGTGAGAAAAAAGAGCTACAAACTGTATTTAATACAAACACCCGTTGATTATCAACCTCTTATTGAAGATATTTTTCAATAGTAGTCATTAGTCAATCAGCTGTTTCATGCCCCCTTCTTCACCTCACTATTATATAGATTTAGTTCACATTTTCATATTAAACTAGTTCAATGACATACACCAGTTTCTAATATGATGTGAGTATATATATATATATACTGACAATAAATGTTACCTCAATGATCTGATCGATTTTTATAGCAATTACTCAAGTAACAATACTACGATAGGCAATTTAAAAAATGCGGGTACATGTGTTGCAGCTTCAATATCTGATAGATATTTAATTCAGTTTAATTTAATCTTGAACTAACGCGCATTTGTTACGAAAACCGGTGACTGAATGATAACCTAGATCAATAAGTAGTAGTAGAAGAACCTCATGACCTAGAGAATTTCGTCTTGGGAAATTGTAACAGGCAAATTTCTGTTTTGTTGACCATTTTCGCACATTTAATTCATGGATAAACAAAGACACAAACAAACAATTAAACTAACTGGATACAAGGAAATGAGATGGGGAATTAGGGAAGGAACATTCACAACAACAAAAAAGTTAACTAGGCAGTCCCTAAGGAGATTACAATTAGTTCTGGACTTGACTAACCTCAATTGGCTCAATATTCTAGTGAAATTACTTATTATATACTGCATGAAATAATAAACTTTTGAAGTGAATAAAATCTAAGGTCGATGATCAAGTGGCTACAAAATCCGAAAAAGTATCACCAAATTATATATGTATAGTATTTCTGAGATATTTACAGTTTTAGCAATATTCCAAGACACATCACAGGTAAATTATACAATAACAGACAAAATCATTATTCATTTCCCTTTGGACACCGAAAATAGGTTACTCTAGTGGTCTTTAAGCATTACATCTCAGAACTACCGAGGAAACTGAGATAAGAAATTATGTGAACCTCTGAACGGCTATCAATATCAATAAATACTTTCCTTATTGTGTCTCACATGTCACAAGTGAATAGATTATTATAAGCAAACCAGGATTTCATAAAAGAATACAATTTGGTTGCTTCTGTATTCCCAATGATGTTGAATAATAAAGGACCTTTATCAGATAATTACCAGCAGTCTGTTAGAAGTTACACGACCTTTAACTTTTTCTGTGCAATAATCATGGGGGGATAAGCTTGAATAGTATAGTATTGTAAAGTTCTAGGCTCAATAATAGTGCAAAGACTAAGTGGGGCTCGGGAAAAACAATCCTGAGAAAAGCAAGCAGACTTTAGGCCAAGAGGAAGGTGTATTGATTCTGTGACAAATTTTGAGGCATAAGCACATCTACCGGTACCCAATGATTGCTGTATTCCTTGACCTCAAAGAGAAATTTCACCCCATCGACCGGGAAGTGCTGTGACAATGTCTAGCCATGAAGGGAATGCCGAGAAAGTTTATCACACGAATCAAAGCACTCTACTTGAATTCACACAGCTACGTAACAGCTTACGGACAGTTGTCGTCCATCAGGTGTCCATCAGGTATTTCCACTGTTCCCATTTTTGGTTTAATTTCATCATAGATGACCTAATGGAATTGCCCCTGAGTGAATTCAGCGACTCAGAGATTGACTGAGTTAACAGGGAAGCCTAGTTGAATAGAATGTGAAGATGCTATTGTCCTCCGAGGTGAAGGATCTGACAAAATGCAGAGACTTCTGAACACCTTGAACAGAAATCCTTGGATGTTTGGCATGCGAATCCCTCCTGTCAAATGTAAGATGATGTTACATGACTGGAGTGCATTGACTCCTAGCTTAAAGATAGAGAATAAAGTGACTGAGCATGTCGACCACTTCACTTATTGGGGAAGTTCTATCAGTTCCAATGGAATGGTCACTGGTGAAATGCCAGTGCAGATACAAAAACTACTGTTCCATTTTCCAACTTACATCATCATGACATAGAAGTAATATCTACGTTTTGATCAAAGGGTGTGTGTATCGCACAGCAGTTCTCCCTATCCTTCTTTGTGTATGTGGGATATCTCCACTGAAAGTGGAAGATATACAGATGTTGGTTGTCTTCAATCACAAATGTTTGCGCTTTATATCCCGCGTTAATTGGTATATAATAGTGAGTAGAAAGTAGTGTTGAGTAAGGAAGAGAAGTCAATCGATGAATCGGTGAAGTTACATCGGTTAAGGTGATTAGAACATATATTGCATATTACAAGCCATCACCTTCTTTGATGACCAGTGTAAGCCGACATGGGATTAGGCTGTAAAAGAGTTAGGGGTGATCAAACCAAAACCTGGAATCAGTTCATTAAATCTTTGACAGTTACTGTGAACTAAGTAAGGAGGTGTAAACTGTCTAGTTGGGGTTCGCAGGAGCCTAAGAACCAATAGATGGAGACTATTGGAGGTATGGTTCAAAATCTTCTTGTCTGGCACAGATGCATTCACTCTTTGTGATTTCCCATATTCATTAAACTGTTATGTTTTTCCATGGTACTAATCTTTTTGCGTTACATTTCTGCTCATTTTAATTACAATAATTTTTAAAAATCTATTTTCTCTCTGATTTCCCTACCTTTGTGTGCTATATGGAGTGTAGCGACTTCAACTGGTGCACTTCTGTACAAAGTTCTTTGTTGAAATTCACTCAGTCAGTTGTCTATCTGTCTGTTTTCGACATAGAACTTTGCACCGATGTGCACCAGTTCAAGTCCCACACTCCCTCCATGTAGCACACAAAACAAGAGAAGAAAGTACAAGAAATGCATAATAGAGACAGTAAACAGGTGTGAGACAGAGGAATAGTAATAACGAAGAACAACAGAGTTTCATTGGAAATCATAAGTCACAAGGAGTGGATGCATCTGCGCCAGCCATCGAGAACGATAACTTTGAGCCATATCACCAATTGTTTCCAACCACTGGTTTTTACCGTCCCAACGACCCCAACCAGGAAGCCAGCCTACACCTTCCTACGTGACTTAAACTAACTGTAGTGAATTTCATTGATTGATGAAGCCATGTTTTGGTTTGACCACAGCTAGGTCTTTTCCACTAACTGCCTCTTTTTCAACCTGGTCCATCCTGTCAGCTTACATTGTCCGTCAGTCGAGGAAGGCGATGACCAGGCACACGTAACACATATCCTAACCATCTCACTCAGTCGATGTAATTTTACAGCCTCGTCGATTGATTTCCCCTCCTTACCTAGAACCCGACCCATGCCTAACCTCAATATTGCTCACCTTATTATACCACTTCACACGGGAGATAGAATGCAGGCACCTATGATCAAACACAGCTAACTGGGCTTTTCATGTCTTCCACTCTCAATGACCAGATCATGCAGTCATAAAGGAGAATAGAGCGAACTGCTGAGCAGTACACACGCCCTTTGGTCGACAGCCAGCCGGATATCACGTCTACGCCAGAGACGGCGCAAACTGGGATATGCAAAACTAGCCCCCGTATCCATGCTGAGATTTCGTCAGAGATCAACCCGTCGGCACTGGCTGATACAACTTCCCAAATAAGTGAAGTGGTCAAGGTGCTCTACCACTTCACTCCCTATTTCTAAACTAGGAGTCGGTGTAGTCCAGTCCTGTAACTTCATCTTACATTTGGCGGGAGCGAATGGCATCCCAAACATTCGTAGATTGCACCTCAAGGTGTTCTGAAGACTCTGAATTTTGTCAGCGTTTTCGTCTAAAAGGACTATATCGTCTGCATATTCTAAGACAGCGGGATTATTCCCTGATAGCAAGTCAATCCCTGAGTCTCTGAAGTGAGTTGGGGTCAAGTCTATTAGTACATCTATGATGAAATTGAATAGCAATAATGAGTTAGTCAAACCTTCATAGTTTACAACAATAACAAGAAAACAAATACTTGATAAGACAGAAAAACATTTAATAATAACCTACTTTTCTCAATATCTTTACTTGAACGTTGCATAAATAGTGTTCTTTTAGTCGGATTTAAAGATGGATCAGCTTCAGCATCTAGATTTATTTGACAAATAAAAAAGAACTATTGGCATAAACAACGAAATGTTTATTATGAGTCAATTAAAGACTAATACTAACTTTGGCAAGTTCAAATATTTGATTGTTAGTGTTTGATTCAAAGGTAGACCTGCTGGCCTAAGTAAACTACCATTTAGTAATACTATGAATTACAAACAATCGTACAGTTTCCTAATCTGCATTTGACACAGATTAATTACCGGACAGCAAAAAAACCACACAATACTGTATACCGATAAGATGAGATCAACGCTCATGAGTCAGGAAGTGTGAATCACAAGTGATGTTTGCAATCCCAACCTATCAGATTCACTATAACTGCTATCGGCTATTTGATTTCTATGTTACAAAAGGAAAAAACAAAATAGGCCAATTTAGATATGAAGTAAATAACCCAAATCAATTTGTTAAGTAGCCTAGGAGCTTATATTTTGATATATTCTTCAAACATACACAAACAGGTCAGTGAAACGTGAACAAAATCAGGCAAGCTAACATTTCGGAGCATAATGTTAGGAATGCCACTCAATTTCGCTTTAACTCTTAGAATAATTCCATGAATTACATTTAAAGTATTATTTTTACCAAGAAAATTTAGTATAAATTAATAGGCATACCATCTGGTTCTCTTTCAGAAATGTGTTGCAAATTTGAAGTGCTTGACTGAGTATATATTGAAGAGAGCATAAAGTCTGAAGGTTCATTGTTTATTCCAAAGTCTCCTTGTGCTCGGTAAGAAAAATCTTTGCCCCCGTGTATATCTAACGGAGCAGTTCCATTGTGCACTGCTCTGGAAACACGATTATCCAGACGACGATAAGGCTGGGACTTATTCATGTGTGGAGCATCATTGGCTACAGGGCGATAACTAGCTATAGCATCCTTGATATATTCAGACTGATATACTGATTGTGATTTCCCCATATGGTCAACATGATTGGGAACAGCCGATCCATAATTCATGGTGTTTGTCTCACCCATTGGCTTGTCATGCGACTTCCAGGCACAGCATGTACAAAAATTCCCCATTTTACTTTTTATATTATGCTGAGTATATACGAAATAATGTTAATTCATTGCTCAAAGAACAAGCTGAGGAAACCAAAAGCGAAAGCATTTAGGCCTAATTATTATATAATGAATGCAAATTATTTTAGTACACGACAAGAAGTGTGCAATATTATTATAAATACAAAACAAAACAAGATTAGGACTATGAAAAATATCAACCATATTTTCATTCTAGGTGATGCCAATAAATTGGGCAATACAATATGCTAATTAAACTTTAGAACGATTGTTTATTTTATAGCTCAAAACTGGAAATACTAAAGAGATTTTAAAGAAAAAAGCTTTCACCTACATATATATACCGAGGATTGGAAGAAAGGATACTACCAAACTACCAAAGAAAGGAGACTTAAGTCAATCCAAGAACTGGCACGGAATTATGCTCCTGTCCATCCCCAGCAAAATATTAAGCCGTATCATCCTAAAGAGAATCAAACACGCCAACCTGGATGGGAAACTTCGACCGGAACAGGCTGGATTCAAAAGAAACAAGTCATATATTTATCAAATCGCCACTCTACGGATCATCATTGAACAAAGCTTGGAATGGCAGTCACCTCTCCACCTCACTCAGCTCCATCGACTTTGAAAAGGCATTCGACAGCGTCGATCGAAAGGTCATTTGGTAACTACTTAGCTACTACGGGGTGCCATAGACAATTACACACATCCAACAGTTGTACGACAATGCTGTAAGCCAAGTAATCCACAACAGGAAACTTACGGAGTCCTTCGAAGTGAGGAAGGGAGTAAGGCAAGGCTGTCTACTATCACCAATGATCTTCCTGATTGCAATTGATTGGATAATGCGACAGACAACGGCAACCAACAAGGGAACAGGCATAAAATGGACTGACACAAAAGACTTGGAGGATCTGGACTTCGCCTGTGATATGTACCTGATTTCCCACAAACTGGAAGATATCCAAGTGAAAAGCAACAAGCTGGCAGAAGAAGCATCAAAGATAGGACTTCAGGTGAACATAGAGAAAACAGAGGTAATGAAGATTCATGGCCAATAGCAACAGCAACAACAACAGACAGCAATCAGCATGAATGGGAGGAACCTGAAAGAAGCAACTTCCTTCACCTAGCTACCTGCCTGGGAAGCATCGTCTCAACTACAGGTGGACGGAACCGACGAGGATATCAAAGCGAGGACAGGGTAAGCAAGGCAAGCTTTCATTTCTCTCAAGTCTGTGAGAAGTTCAACACCACTCCTCAGCATGAAAACAAGATACTGATTTTCGAGTCCAATGTTAAGTCAGTGCTACTATAAGGATCAGAGACTTGGCCAGTGCGTCATAAAGAGCATCTCAAACAAACTACAGACCTTCATTAACAGTTGTCTTCGCTCAATACTCAAGATCAGATGGCTGGCCAGAAAAGATCAACAATAGGGATCTCTGGGAGCTAACCAACCAAGAACCGATTGTGCAACAAATAGGCAAGAAGAAATGGAGATGGATTGGCTGGCCATACTCTGAGGAAACCATCAAGTGACATCACTAGACAAGCCCTCGAGTAGAACCCGAAAGGGAAGTGGCGAGTTGGTCGTCCAAGGGCGACTTGGAGCAAGTCATATCAAGGGGTAACGAAAGCGTGTGGACAGACTTGGAGCCAGGTGAAAACTCTAGCAGAGAACCGAATGCAATGGAGACGTTCAGCTGAAGTCCTATGTTCTTCTAGGAATTAAAGGAAATAATAATATATATACCAGCGAAGGTTTCGGAGTGAAACTTACTTCAAACTTAGCACTAATTCGCTTATTAGATATATCACACAGTGAAACAATATTATTCACTGGATGACGTTTCGGACAATTTATTGTTCATGATCACATCAATAACTATATATATTATATGTACTATTTCACTATGTGGTATATCTAGTACACAAATTGATGTGGAATTACATACTACCAGTGCTCAAGTCTTATATATAATAATCTCACTTCAGACTGCAGACTAACATGACTCTACAGCTATAAAACGGGACTATGTTCCATTTAGTCCCTATAATGCAGGACGTTTTTCGCCAAAATATTTTTATGAACAATTTGCAAGATTATAGTACAACCTTAACCTGACATTTTAAGAAAGTTGACAATTCACGTAAAGTGCAACCTAAGACTTGAATTAGTACAGTGGCATCCATGTTCAATAACCTATGTTGTGTTCAAAATGGTGGACACGTAGTTATTCATTTTCGTATTGATTCTATGTACACTTAATAACCATCGTTAAACCCACGTTTTCTAACTATAACGCCATTATTGCTCGCACTTTCTCGTAACAGTAGTCTGAATTAATGCACTCCTGAACAAAGTTCCACGTTCATTCATTAGCTGTTAGACTGTCAGTCAATAAGTGCTCAATAAAGTTCATTGGGCATGCAAAAATGAACATTTTAGGTCTACATATCAAGATGCATACGGCTAAACCAGTTAACTGTAGAAAACAGGAAACAACAGTATGCATTCAGAAATATAAAGTGCCTTTAACCCACAAAGTTTAGAGCTTGTACAGGTATACACAAGTGAGTAATGAATGGATGTCTTCTATTTAAAACTCATATAAGAACATTTTGCATCCCAATGTAAACCGGATTCATGAAGAGCTGAAAATAACACGGCCACCGAGGATAAATTGAGACGCTAAAATCCAATACAAGACAAATTCATGGACAAGAGTACAAGAAAACAGAGAAAACGACCAAAACGTTACAGGAAACTATTGCTTATTACTCCAGACATTATTTTGTTTGATGTGGTGATAGCTTGAGAATAAGCATCATTTAAAATATCCATATTCTGGACCAAAGATTTTCCCAGCCAATATCAATGTTATCCCAAATTTTGTAGCCGTTCGGCTAACTTTTCACAATATATGGTCCGACTATCATGGAAATATCAGTGTATTTCAACTAGCTATTGTTAATTCCATAAGGTAATTGGCAACAAAAGAGGATTGGGTGATGCTGCGGATGAATCCGACTGCACTCACCGAATACTACATCGTCATGTATCATTCAAACTAGGACATTTGCGAACCTATAGGTAGCAGTATCACGGAAGGGATAGGATTCTGCGTCAGTATTTCAGGCGGGTTTTACACTTTATTCGCTCACCCATTTGTAAAACGGCTTCTTAAACAATTCTGAATGTAGCCCGGTACACACCTATCAGAAATACTGTTCATACACCACAGAACTAATGAATTGTCGCTGGATATAAATTTTGACTGAAATCAGAACATGCAAAGGCATAAAGCTTCAGTACCACCAACGTGTCTGCACTGTTAATTGCACATTACACCATGAAAAAACGCTGTGATAAATCACAAGAGGTAATGGTTATACACCAAGGAATAAAATCCGACTTGAAATGTATTGCGGATACATATAGTAATGGCTCGGAATCTTATTAAATCACCGAAATCAAACCAATAAACCCACCTGTGTTAGAGATATGACCGAGAATCCCTGTCAACCTGAATTAGTCATTTTCATGAGCCCAGAGACCTTGAAAATCAAAACGACTCAGTCTGAGCATTCAATCATCAATGCTTACTGACAGCAACGTCCAAGAGTATATTGCTAACTTAGTGGAAGCAAGCCCACCTAGAGAAAGTTAGCACAAAAGTATTCACTAGACAACTAATACTAAATACTGGTTGTTAGTTTTTACATCCAATATCGCCAGTTATATAAAGATTTATGATACATTAGATTTGGAAAAACAAAGAAGTATGGATGGATGTAATTTGTCATTTTTTCCCTTAAAAAATTCTTCTTTCAATAGAAACCATTTTTAATTCATTAGCATGTGAATGTGAGCTTGTCTACTGATATTTAACTTTGGGGAATATATGGCCACTGAGTGACCATTTTGTTCATCAGGATCGCAACCAGAAGAATACCGTTTCCTATTACCTCACTATCCAGAAGAAATATTCTTTTCAAATCCTACTGCCTGTCGCAATGGTCTCATCAAATTTTGGTCACTCATTTTTCGACCTTTTACTCATAATTAACATACAGACGATGAAGAAAGCGGAACTCATACAAATCATAAACCAATTAGGCTTGTGATGGTCATCATAGACAAAAACGGTCAAACACCGATAAATGCAGGAAATGACGTGCATGGAGGCCGAATAGGTTTAGCACTCGACACATGCATTTATGATAAGAGAGAGGTCATAAGAACTATCCGTTTGTGTTTGCAAAAGTTATATATAAATTTCCTCACCTGCGTCCACTGAATACGGCAATTTCAATGGGTGGAAATACACCGGTTGGCGTACTGTAGTATGTTGCTGCGCTATATTTGCTTATGAAAGAACTTTTTCAAGTACTTTGTATGTTTGAGTCTGACAGTGATACTGTTTCGTGAATTCCGCATAGAAGATTTCCACCTACACTAGTGCATTGTGTTGATGAGATACGCATAGAACTTCATTCAGGCATCGAGTAACTTTCAATTTCTCAATGACTCAGGTGTTGGCTTGTAGGATTTGATTGGTCACAGGATTTCATCATCAGCTGACATTGGTTAGAGAACCATTAGAAAACCTGCAGGGAGTACTAGACAGCTGTTTCGTCCTAGTTTGGGACCCTTCATCAGTACGCACCCAACGGCCAGGTTTCGAACCCAAGACCTTCTGGTTACAAGGCTAGCGAGCTTGTAGACCATTAAGCCACCGGGACCCGATCCGATGGCCCATGAATTCTAGCTTCTGCCAATTTGCGACATAACGCAACCACTAGCCGATGTCTTCGGCGAGTATTTGTCCTCACCCGACCCGCTGCACCCTACTGGTCCCGACTTCTCAATAGAACCACAGGTAACTACCTACCTGAATAAAGCAAGTCACTAGTGAACATCTCATCAATATTCAAGCGTTGGCTTGCAGGGATGACTGTTAGAAGAGTTGCATCATGACTAACAGCCGACTGAGGAGATGAAACGATAGTTGCAAGTAATCGCTAATTAAGTAAGGACCACTTTCACTGTTGAACCA